CAGCCATATTGACAGCTCTAGGTGGGACCCACTAGAAGAGAGATATTTGATGTAATGACAAATTTACCCTTAATTAGTGGTAAATAGTATATTTTTTACCACCATATATCAACTTATTTACGAGATTGTCATCCTGTATTTGACCAGGTTTATTAGATTTTGACTTCATCACAACCATTAATATAAGGGCTTGCTTGTGTACAAATTAATTTACTCATTTTTTTTTTCAACTCAAAATATAATTCAACTTTAACCCAACCAACTATCTTTAATACTATTCATATAATTAAATAATACAAATCAATCATTCTTACACATCACATCAACTTTAATTCACTATTCATTCACTCACATAATTTTAACTACCTATCATTTCCAATCATTTATCTCTTACTTTACATCAAATCAATTTTAAATCATTTTATTTTAAATATTATTTTAATACATTCTTAAAATTCAACTACAACTAACCATACCACCTTTTTCAAAATTAATTATGGTTAACCAAAATAACTCAATTTGAACAAATTATTTCATAAACAATCAAGCTCTAATGGATTCAATGGTACATATTCATTATTATTTCTTTTACTACCTCTTTTGTCCTATGATTTCTTCTCTCTATATGTATATATAGAGAATGATTCAAATAAAAACTAGGTTTGTGAGCACCACGAAAACCATACTTGATTCTATTTTTAACTGTATGATGCTATTTTTAATGTTGAATGACGCTATCATTTTCACAAATGTTAATTAAAAATTTATTGCTAATTTTAATGAAATACAAGCTAATTAAAAATAGCACCAAAACACAATACATACAATTAAAAATAGCAGTTCTCACGCTAGAACTTGATTTTAATTTGAAACCAAAGCCAATAAATATTTCATGGGGTGCAGAATTCGTTAAGTTCCAGCATAACAAAGAACTTGATTACCTCAGTTATCACTCTTCCAGTATTATCACAATTCACAACAACAAAAACAATAAACAGCAAAACATTTATCAAGACTCCTATCCGTAGCACATCTTAAGAGATCTATGCCTTTAGTTTCTCCTCTTCTTCCTCTTACGCCGATCTTCACTATCAGTCTCGCTTTCACTCTCACTTGACCCGGAGCTGGACGACCCTGACCCAGATCCTGATTTATCTGAACCTGAACCAGAACTATCAGAATCTGAATCCTGCTCCGGCACTTCCCTATTCTGTTGCATTATGAGGCGTGGCATGTTCTTTAGATACTCTCGCATGTTCTCCGTGATCCCACCAAGCCCTATGGATGTGAAAAAATTGATTGCAAACCTCGTGTTCTTGGGGGTATCCTTGGGGAAGATGGACTCGAACGAGTCTTGCATAGCTGGATCATTCAGGCGCTCGTTCAGCAAGCGGATCCCAAGGTGCTCGGATAATTCCTTCAACAAATAAGATGCCATTTTCAGTTTTTTAGCGACTTTGAGAGATGAGAATAAGAGGAAACATCATCGAGATGCACGCAACAATAAACACATTCAAGGAATAAAAGAACATGACCTATTGCATTATATGTCATAAGAGATAACAGAATTGACAAGAAAATCCCAACAATTTTAGATAATACTAGACGATAACTGGAGAAAATTAAGAGGGTAAAAATACTAATAGGGCACCTGGAAGAGAATCTTAATGAAAATACGGGAAGAAGAAGTTGTGTCCTCCTCGGTCAGCCTTATATAGGCTAAGACGTGCCAAGGCAATGCATCTGTGCCAAGTAAATGAGCAAAGAATTTTGCCACATTACGGAGTTTATTGGTCTCCAGTCGATGAATCATAGAGTACTGCTGAACAAAGCTCTTCTCAAAGTTCTCCTGATGAACCTTGTTTATCATACAGAACCGTTGCCCCAAGAGTCCATAATATCGGAGGTAGGTTCTCTCCTGGCTGCAACACTCCAAAAGCATAATGCACAACTCCATCTACACAGGACGAAAACCGATCACCAGCGTTAGTTAACATGTACACTAAGTGACTACAAGAAGTAAAATATGAAGATATAAATAACTAAAATGATCAACATTTATTGACTTATCCATTTACCACTGCCTGTAATTCGGATATTCACTCAGAAAACAAAAATCTAACTTCAAAACTATCAAAGTTAGTAATATGAAACAAAAGCTTGATCACAAATCCACAACTAACTAGAAAAATATCTGCATAATCTCAAAATTAAGCAAAAATTAAGAAAACATTATTTACACTAAAAGGGGCCATATAGATTTATCTAGACCATGTCATGCGAACATGATACTTGTAGCTAAAACTGAGAAACCTCAGTTCTCCTTTTTTCTGACCTGGGTAACTCACCCGTCAGTGAAAATTAATCCTTGAAGAAAATCCTATTCTCACCCGTCGATGAAATTACTGCTTGAAGAAATTCCTATTCCCCTTTTATTTTTCTCTTCATTGCTTCAGATAATAAAGCATCCAAAAACAAAGAAGAAAACCAACAAGACCGGCACATGCTCCGGGGTCAACCCCCTTTTTCAATTAGATTGGAAACCTATCTCCCACCCCAAATAAAATAAAATATACACTAACCTCCTGGCCGGGCTCCAGCTTGATTTTCAGTAACTTGTGCCCAGCCTCTTCGAAATCAACACTAGACATAATAGTCAAATAAATAGTTCTTCGGAGATTGATCAAATTCGTCTCTGTCTCATCCTTTATCTTCATCTGTTCCTCGTCCTCTTCCTCAGACTCTTCATCATCCTCATCATCCGAATCAGCATCATTATCTGAATCGGCATTGTCCTCAGATTCTTCACCTAGAATCTGCTTCTTGAGCTCTTCATACCGTTTTTCGTTCTCCAAGAAGTGAGGATCGGGCTTGAAGAGATCTGAAAAGAAACAAAGATAGCCATTATTGAAGACGAAAGTGAGCGGAGAAGACAAAAAAGTGAGGCAAAAGACACATACTTAATGAGGTCTCAGGATCAATCTCATCCAGAAGCGACACTTCGTGAGTCAATTGGTCTTCCTGTTCGACTAAATCGAGTTCAGGGCGGACAGCTGGATAGCCCTGAATAAGGTGAAATCCATAGAAAAGTTTGAATCAGGCATCAAATTGATGTGTGCATAAGATATAATGATATATGCAGATCTGTACATTGTACTTCTCAGTATTACCATTGAAGGTGGGACCTCACCTGAAACTTTGCTTTCCTCAATGCAAAGAGCCCTTCGATTAAGAACTGAACGCGCTTATCGATTTCTCCTTCATGAAGAATTCCACGGAACCGCTCAAAGATACCTGTAGAGTTGGAAACCCAAAATGTCACATAAAAACAAATTCAGCAGTTCATAATTATAAGAAGAAAAGACTGCAGAAATTAGGGCAGCATTTAACTCACGGATAAACATGTATCCATCACATGTCTGCAAGCAAGGACACACGCACGTGTACGCGTAAGTACTAAATGGTAGTTGTGTATTTCAGTAGTACAGGAATAATGAACCACAGATACCATGTTTAGGTTTCAAGTTATGGTGATGGTAATAATAGGAATGTAAATAGGTAATCAATCACAGCAAACAAGGAGAAACACCGGACAAAATTGCAAAAATGTTCTCTATTTAACAAAGAAAAACGGAATACAGCAAGAATTCCCATCACTAGTTTCCCTGTAATGCGGTATACGGACAGCTAGATACATATAATAGCATTGTCAGTGCCCCACCTTTAGATTCAAATGAAGCATAGAATGTCATTTTTGGTTTATGGCAACATCAAGAGAGACAAAAATTACAAATTGAAGTGCCAAAAATTCCAATGAAGCATTATCATTTTTTGGATAGGAGCGCTTGGAGGCTAGCGATCAACGTGCCGGAACCGTGACTTTTGCTCCTTTCTCTTTTGCTCCAATCTCTTCCTTTTGTTTTGTTTTTGTTTTGAGTTTTGTTTTGCTTTGTTTTGCTTTGTTTTGCTTTGTTTTGTTTTGAGCCCTTTTTTTGTGTTTCTCTTACCACTGTTTCTCTTGGGTTTCATCTCTAGCCTACCCCAACTTGTTTGGGACTAAAGGGCTTTGTTGTTGTTGTTGTTGAAGTGCCAAAAATAAAATGGTTGAACGTGTAAATATATTTTCAAGTGAAAATAAGATTTTTCAATGCAAAACATGCTATTCCTACGGAGAGTGCAAAATATTGAAAGGGTGTAACTGAGCTTTGACAATCTCATTGGAGATCTTTTTGAAAGAGGACAAAAAAAAAATAGAGAGAAAGGAAATACAAGATGTGCATGTTACAAATTCGAGAAAGAACCTCGCAATAAGTTAAAAATGGCCATATAACATAAACACTGCTCCGTGAAGCAGAAAAGAAAAGATGAAACCCAAACATACAGCCATGCCCGAAGTCTCCAATAGAAACAGAACACTAACCAGGAAGCCATCAAAGAGTGGTCAAAGAGTATAGCATTCTACATCAAAAATTTAGAATCCCTAATGCAAACAAATGAAGTAGTCATGTTATTCTAAAACTTAAAATAAAAATCAAGGACTCATATACACATAAACAATGTTTTGTCAGAGTGTGCTCATACCACTTCAAAATTCATCTAGACAATCAAGACCACATCAACATAAAATGGGAGGCAGTCCAAATAAAATCTGAACTCACCATGCAATCCTCGAGGAGAGAGATCTTGAAGCAACGACCCACATTCGGTCACAAAACCCACAGCAACTTCAACACTATCATCAGTCGGCTTTTCCAGCAGTAATGTCAGTAGCTCAAGGGCAATAAGCTCGTGCACCACCTGCTGGTTCACCAGGTGTGCAATAAATTTGACCACAGCAAGTAATCTCGGTTTATCATTACGCTTGTACGACTTCTGGAGTTGCTCAATTATCCTCCGCAGCAAAAGATCACCAATCTCTGGGAACTTAGTGTTCACCACAGCAACCAAGGCTGCAAACACGTCTGTGAAGCCCGGAGAAGCCAACTGGGACTTCATACACGACTGACAGAACAGACCCCTCCCACGTATCAGATTCTCAGCAAAAAGCTCAGGAATTATATTCTTTACATTAGTGGCGTTCACTTTGTTCACAAGCCCGTTAATACTCTTCTTCAACGCATCCCATGTCATCCTCTGATAATCGAGGCTACTTTTGTCCTGGATATCCCCCATCATTCTTGCCAGCTTGAAAGGCGGAATGTAGACTCCACCGCTTCTCCCCATATTGGCTATTGCATCAACTGGCACATTATTTTCACTCTCCTCTCCTTTCTTACCCGACCCATTCTTACTCTCATCCTTCTCGCTTCTTTTACCTCTTTCTCGGTTTCTGTCCCTTTTCCTCTCTTCCCGGTCATCTTCCCTATCATTCTTGTCATCTTCCCTATCATTATACCTGCTACGACGATCATTCCTGTCATCTTCCCTATCATTATACCTGCTACGACGATCCTCCCGTCTTCTGTATTCCCCTTCATCTTCTTCAATTTCGCGGGCTAGGTCACTTTTACGGCTTCTATACTTTTCCTTTTGCCGGATCCTACTATCATCAATGCGGTAATCCCTGTTCCTCCTGCTGCCCTCCCTATCGGAATCCTCAGGGCGCAACTTTCCTCTATCACTATCATCCTTCCTCGCTTCATGTCCATTTTTCTCAGTCTCAGCTTCTCTTTCAGAATCCCTATCTCTCTCTTCCCTTCTTGTACTACGGCTTTCATCATCCTTCTCTCTCTTTCTTTCCCATCCATGCCTGACTTCTGTCATGAAACCTAATGATCGGACTTCTGCAGGTGGGATGGAGAAGGAAAAGGAAGTATTCTCGGGAGGTCGGAGCGGATCTAGGGTTGCTCGCCGGAGATGTCAAAAGAAAACGCGAATTAGGCTGAAGTGAAGATAAGTGGAACTCAAATTCTCTTTAGCCCTACTGAGGGGTGTGGTGAATTGGGCATGATTTGCTATCGTGCTCCGGCCCATGTTATAATTTGGACTCACTTGTAATAACCGGTTAGCTGTTAGCTGTTAGCGGATTATGTCAGCTGTTTTGACTAGCGGATTGTGTCAGTTGTTTTGACCAGCGGATTCTATTAGAGGTTTGTTATAAAACTGTTTGGTAAATTGGCTGATTACAAATAACTGTTAACATGCAAAATTACTTAAAAGGACATTCATAAGCTTTATTTTCTTTTCAATGTTAAATTTCTAATTACTTAGAAAATAGAAATTATTCATATTTTATAATATTATAAAGTAATTCAAATTAATATAAAACAAACACAAATAATAATTAGAATGACAACACTTCTTGTTGGTATCATAGAAACTAAGCGAATATAAGTCATAACTAGTTAAAAAAAAAAGTTAACATGAGCCAAATCCAACAATTTTCAAATAAATTTCTCATGTGAATAGATTCGAACATACCTTTTGGGATTTCTAGTGTCTCTTTCTCTTCCGATAGCTTGCAATTTTTCCTTCAATTTGTTCGTGAATTTGTAGATGTTCGAACTGTAGGGTTATTTCTTCATATTTTTGCTCCTTATTTCTGCTGCGGAGAAGTTCAAAAGTGATGAAAAAAAGAGCAATTATGACCATATATGTTTTCTCCTCAAAACGCTCAGCCCAAACGCTCCACTTCATAGCGTTTTAATTTTCAGCTGTTGGGCCTAAAAAAGCTAATGGAAAAGCTAATTTACCAAACAACTTTTTTAGTGGATTTGGAAAAGTCAACCAGCTATATGGATCAAAAACCTAGTTTTTGGGCAAAACGCTATTAACCAATCAAGCCCTAAATCCACTAATTAAAGAGGAATTTGCACCCTCCACTTAAATAATATGAACCATATATAATTATTTACAAACTAACTAAATTTGTTAATTTTATTTTCATATATGCCTAAAAATCTGTTTTTCATGTTTATGGTATTGTTACTAGATAATTGAGGAATTAATGAGAGTCTATCGGTTACCAAAAACTGATTTCCTATTTAGATGGTAACTTCCATCAGCTACGCCTCTCTCCTCTCCCCTCCCCCCGCTCTATCTTCTTCACACACGGCACTCTCTCTATCTTCTTCGCACAAGTTCCGCCTCCATGTCGGGCTTCTCCGGCAAGTACGTCCCCTTCAATGTCGTCCTCCACCGAGTCCTACTCCCTCAACGAGATTGTGTACCGAGCCATCCCCGCGGTCGTCATCTACATGTAGGCGATGCGAGAATATTTTTCTATGGAGTCGACGAGAGAGAAGATGAATATATTTTGGAACATGATTTCTTCAACTACCGCTGGCGACGACGTCCTCTAAAGAGGGTTTCGGCGTCGCCACAATCGGGGGAGATGATTGGTTGTTGCAGGAAATTTGTATTTTGATTCGATTTTTTAGGGTTTTTGCACTGTGTGTAGATTATTCATGACGTTGAAATTCGTAGACGTTGGATTGGAGTATATGTACAGTATATTTACAGTATATATGACATGCGTCCTCCCGAGTTGTACAATATATTTAAAGTATATGATTTGGAATTCTGGTCGGGCGTCGGTGGTGGTAGAGTATTCGACATGCGGATAGTTTCGATCAAATCTGTTTTTTATTTGATGTTTATTTACAGTTTATTTGATATATATAGTCAGTTTATGTTGTTTTTCGATATTTATATTAATGTTTTTTGTTTCATATTTATTTGCAGCAATAACTCATTATATTTACAGTTTATGTTGTTGCACTATGAAAAATAGAATGACTATAAACGCAACATAGACTTATATTGGAAATATACTGAAATATAATGATTATCAAAACACATACTTTGAAAATATACTGAAAATTTACTGAAATATAATGATTAAAATCAACTTATACTAAAACATTCAGTGAACAGTAAAAAAAAAGAGAAGAATAAATTTTTGATGGAAGCATTTTTTCCTTTTTATTTTGTTAGCACACGGACGCAAATCGCGGGCAAAAAAGAAGAAGAGGAAGTTGTATTGATATGGTAACTAAATTAAGCATTAATGTAGTTAATTTTATCTTTTAGGTACATATACATATAATTTAATGGGTGTGGTATTGTTGTAATTTTTTCCATATCTTGTAGAGAGATAAAAATTTCCCATAATTAAATCCTAACTTACTCGGGCCATAACATTTGCAATACAAAGCTACTAGCCACCCGTTTCAAAACCTCCAAGAAGTACCAGGGACGGATTCAGGAATTTGTTTTGAGGGGGACTATATATTTTCTAATAGTCATAGATTTAATTTAATGTACATAAAAAAATAGAAAGTCGCATTATGAAATTATATCCCCCCTCCCCCCTATATATTAATACAGAACGCGTTGAGCCTACGTGGCTGTTTCTGGTGCTTCGGAATCCTATGTGGCAAAATTACATGCTTCGTTATTAGGCTTGGGTAAATTTTAATTTAATTCCAAACCAAAAATAATTAGGTTCGGATTACCATAAATATGTTGATTATTTATGATCATATTACATGTATTAATGGTATTTTAATATTATTCCTTATTATAACTATTGAATTGTTTATATATTTTAAAAGTTAATAACTTTTGTATTTTTTATCAGTTTTACATATGTAATATATCAAATTAATCTTCTTTTGATTAGCTTCGATTTAACATCCATATTGTATGTATAAAAAAAATTATATTTATCTTTATAACAATAATAAAATTATTTTTAATATTAATTAGAAAAATAAAATTATTTATCAAACTAATATATTTATATTTCAAGTAGTTATATGATATAAGTTATGGAAACTAATATAATATAACACATGTAAGTCATACGTAACACATATCATTCTAAAATATATGATATTCTAAAATATATAGTAATATATTTTTTTTGTAAAAAAGTAAACTAAATTTAATATAGTTTTCTCATTAATTTTAAAATTTAAGAATAATTTTTTAACAAGCACCCGTGTAATACACGGGTGTTGTACTAGTATAACACTATTCCAATATAATTTTTACAGTTTTATACCTTGATAGTAACAAGATTTGATTGAACGCTCTCTCAACTCATGAATTTCTATCTAAATGTTGATTCGAAAAAAAAAAAATTAATAGTTTTGATATTTTTCTTTCCATTAAACATATCTTATACTGTAATCTTTTTCAAAAATTTACCAATTTTTATGATGTCACATATTTACCATACATTTAATTTATTTAAATTAGAAAAAATGTTATACGAAAGTGTAAAAAGAGTATACATTCAAATTTATTTAAATCAGAAAAGTGTTATACAAAAGTGTAAAAAGAGTTTAAATGTAGTTCATTTATTAGTTGAAAGAGTAATATAATTATCTTTAATATAATTGTGTGAGTTGTGTGAAAAATGATATATTGGGGAGGGGACAATCCCCCCCCCCCCCCCC